ATAAATCATTTCAGTGTTGGATTCAGCGAGAAAGAAAATGTAAACTCATTTAGTTGTCTGCTAATAGATTGAAACAGTTGATGTGTTGTTATTCTGTGTATTTAATACAGTACCTCTCTAACTAATATGCATCAATAAAAACAGAGATGAACTGAAAGATTATCAATAAATTTATTTGAATTATTCCTGGGGATACATTTTTAAAAACCTCCATCAAAGTACACTCTCAGTACAGAAATCACATTTCTCATTCTGATAACATATGTTTTTCAAAGAGGAAATCTTGACCGTGGTTGCATGTTGGCGGCATTTGTGCAAAAGTAATTATTTAATTTGTGATGCTAAATAGATGCTAAAATAAAAGCATACACAATTTAGCATCACAAAAGCTAGCATCAAATCTGTTTGCACACTCGTCACAGGCCACAGGCAAGTTTGGTCCGAGCGGATCTGACCTTGCCGTTTACTACAAATGATGCCCCTTTACATCTAAAAAGCTCAATAAATCAGTGCTCTCGGCCAACAAGACCCTGTCATGCCTTCAAAATGCACAGAAACGTATGACAAAACATATCAGCGCTGATATTATCAGTACAATTAATAATTTCAAGGGCATTTGTACTCCAAGATAAGATGCTTATGGCTGATTTAATACCTCTCCATAAAGGTCATGTGATATGGTTCATGTGAAAGAGCGCCGTCACAGTTAAAAGACTAGAATTGGGGATTATACACCATGTTTAAAGCAGAAGAAACGCAGTTCTCAGTTATCAAACAGACCGTGCAAAGGTCTAAAGTGTCACAACCTCAGAAACATATCAGTCAATGCATTAAGCATTTAAATAAGCATCATAAAAATCCACAAAGACACAAAAAAAATGATTTTAATACAACAAAAAAAGCATTTGTGGATTTCTAAGAGGTGACCTTGCACTCGGCGTCTTAGTTACTGAAGCACAGCAAACGTCATTAGGGTGATGTGGGTAATTACAGCACATAAGACCTCTTAAGCATGTAATACAGTCTTTTATCTGGAGAAGTCAATCTCTGCGAGGCTGACAGCTAGCAGCATATGATCCCGGTAAACAAATACTTTCACGCCGCACCAAAGTGCCATTAAAGGCCAGAACTGTCAACACAAATTCCACTCTTGCGAGAGAAAAAAAAAAAAAAAGGAGGAGGGAAAAAAGAAATTGAAAAAAAAAAGAGACTTGATCACCTCTGGTTGCCTTAACGTGCATGGAGGTAGCCATGGAAACGTTTTCTGTGAAGTTAACATGGATGCAAACAGAAGGCTTTCCGGCTTAATTGCCATTAGAGTTTTATGACCCTGTTTAGAGACGTATATTAAAGCACACACGGGGTAATACGTCGCTTATGGCGGTGACGGGTGCTAACCTTTGCCTCTCTGAGGTCGTTTTTGTTTTTTAACACACCCAAAATGTGCCTTTTTTTGCGGTGGTGACTGGCAGATGCAATATGAAATAAATGAAAGAGAAATTGTGTGATTTCTAACAGTGGAATTGTCACACTTACTGTATATTACTGTCATTATGAATAATACCATCAGCTACAAGAAATGTTGCTGCTGTAATGTGAACAAGAAGTAACCTCTGCCTTTCTAGGGGTTGTGTTTGTCTCTTAACACTCTCTAAATGTGTGCTTTTGGACAGTGGTACTGGCAGATGCAATCTGAAATACTTCAAAGTAATATTACAAATCACTCTTGTGATTTCAGACAATACAAAGGTCATAATTACATTACTCCAAATCTGAATATAGGCATAGCAAGTAATGTTGCTGCTGTAACATGAACAAGTAACCTCTGGGTTTGCTTTTGATTCTTAACACTCTCTAAATGTGCCATTTTTGGACAGTGGTGACTGGAAGATGCAATCTGAAATACTTGAAAATGATTTTACTACTAAATCTTGTGATTTGAAACTATGAAAGGGTCAGGATTACATTACTCCAAATCTGACTATAGGCATACAGTAACGGTAACACTTTACAATAAGGTTCATTAGTTAATGCATTAACTAACATGAACTAATCATGAACAACGCATGTACAGCATTTATTAATCATAATTGAACATTTACTAATGCATTATTAAGATCCAAGTCCATGCTTGCTAACATTAGTTAACGCACCATGAGTTAACAAACTAATAATGAACTACTGTATTTTCATTAACTAACGTTAACTAACATGAACAAATACAGTAGTAAATGTATGGTTTATTGTTTGTTCATGTTAGTAAATGCATTAATTAACATTAACTAATGAACCTTATTGTAAAGTGTGACCACAGTAACCAGTAATGTTGCTGCTGTAACGTGAACAAGTAACCTCTGGGGTTGCTTTTGTCTCTTAACGCTTTCTAAATGTGCCATTTTTGGACAGTGGTGACTGGAAGATGAATCTGAAATAATTGAAAGAGAAAATATTAATTCATTTTGTGATTTGAAACGATGACAAGGTCATAATTACATTATAAATTCTGGATATACTGTAGGAAAGTTGCTGCTGTAATGTGAACAAGTAACCTCTGGGGTCTTTTTTGTCTCTTTACACTCTCTAAATGTTGCATTTCCGGACAGTGGTACTGGCGGACGCAATCTGAAATAATTGAAAGAGAAATTATGAATTCATCTTGTGATTTCAAACAATAAAATGGTCATAATTACATTACTCCAAATCTGAATATAGGCGTAGTAAGGAATGTTGCTGCTGTAACGTGAACAAGAAGTAACCTCTGAGTTTCTGAGGATGCTTTTGTTTCTTAACACTCTCTAAATGAGGCATTTCTATACAGTGGTGACTGGAAGATGAAATCTGAATTCATTGAAAATGAAATTATGAATTCATCTTGTGATTTTAAACAATGAAACGGTCATAATTACATTACTCCAAATCTGAATACAGGCATAACAAGTAATGCTGCTTATTGTCATAATGTGTACACTATAAAACTGGTTTAGTGAAATTATTGCTTATTTTTTTATGATTAAGCAATATGAATGACTGAAAAAAAACAAGTATAACTACAAGTACTAATCATACCAGGCAATAAGTTGCTTTTTAACATGAACGCGATCTAACCATCACTTCAGATTTATTATTTTTCCTCTAGAAACACCCTGAAAACAGTTGTGCTTTGTTTTTAAATTCTCTCTATGAATAAAGGCATAATCTACAAGTATTGGAGTAATGATTTACTAATTACTGTAACGTGAAAGTGGCATTTGCAGGATATAATATAAATCGACAGAAAAATTACTACAAGTATCAAACACATGGAGTAAGAAGTCACTTAACGTACAGTAGTAATGTGAATGAAAACAAATCTTTGACTTTCTTGATTTGCTGGTATTTTAATATATTTATAGATTTATTTTTGGTTTCCACCAACATGAATGTAAATCCAGGGCAATACCGGGCAATAAGTTGCTTTTTAACATGATCGCGACCTAACAATCACTTCAGATTTATTATTTTACCTCTGGAAACAACCTGAAAACAGATTTGCTTTGTTTTTACATTTTTTGAATATTTCTTTCTCCATGAATAAAGGCATAATCTACAAGCATTGGGGTAATGCGACTCTAATAACTGTAATATTAAAGTGGCATTTGCTGGATATAATATAAATCGACAGAAAAATTACTACAAGTATCAAACACATGGAGTAAGAAGTCGCTTAACATGCATGAACAAATCTTTGACTTTCTGGAATTGATTTGCTGGTATTTTATTTTATATCTATATCTATCTATATCTATATCTATATCTATCTATCTATCTCTCTCTCTCTCTCTCTCTCTCTCTCTCTATATATATATATATATATATATATATATATATATATATATATATATATATATTTATTTTTTATTTTATTTTTTCTAGCAACATAAATATGAATGCAGGTATAAACTACAACGCTACATAAACTAAAGAATAATCCATAAACTAAAGTATTGAACACATACTGAACATCACATATTAATGCAATCATACAACAAAGAATCTTACATAATAAACCTTCCTAAAAGTGTTTTGGTGACATTTTTGTCATTGCTGACAGCAAGACAATAAATTAAATTTTAGAAATGCTAACAATGGGTTTATATGTTGCTGAACAATAATGTAAACAAGCTCTAACGTCTTCCTTTCAGGGGTGTTTTTTTTCTTCGTATAAGTCTGTATAATCATTTTTGGTGGTCTTTTAATCAGTGATGAGTTCAATATGAAATAATTTACTACAAGTATCAATGCATAGGGCAAAACATCACCTAACACTGTAATGTGAACTAGAACTAACCTTTTTCATTTATTTATTTATTTATTTATTTTTTTTCTTTCTTTTTTTTTATGTTGATGGCAAATGACTAGCAGATGCCACATAAATAATAAATATAGTAACAAACAATGAAACCTTCCAATTACATGGAAAAAAGTAATGAGGAAAAGCACTACAAACATATTTAACACAAAGTCATGCACACTGTCAAAAATGCAGGGTTCCACACAATTCAGTAATGTGGACCCAACACAAATCGATTAAGTTAACTTAACACTTTTAACAAATTAATGTGGATTGAACATAAAAACATTAAGTTGTCCCAATTGTGTTGTTTCAGCTCATTTTAATCAAGTAGTTTAAACGAGCAAAAACACAGCTTTTTTTGAGTGTATGTTACATCTTATTGTAATGTCAAAGACAACTTTTTATTTTTATTCTTAAGCCCTAAAATAGTTTAGTTAGCTTTGTCATTGTTGCTTTTAGCAATTACTGAAAGATGCAATACCAGTGTACCCAACATTTCTTTCAATATGAACAAAAGCATAACCTACAAGAATTCAACACATGGGTTAATGCATCACTTGTACAATGTTAACATTAAACACATCTAATCTATGCTTTTTAAGGTTGTTTGCCTTTCTTAAAACCCCCTAAAACAGTTTTGGCTGGTCAATAGTGATTGCAATATGGAAAAGTGAAAGATTAACTTTAGCGATTGCCAACAATAAAACATTTCCCCCTAATAAAAGCATATGAATAAAAGCATGACCTATAACTATTCACACTGCTCATTGCTGTCACATGAGCTAACCTTTGTCTTTCTGAGGTTGCCTTTATTATTTTTTTGTCATCAGCACTGACTTCAAGATTCAATATGAAATAATTAAAAAGAGTAACTTGAGATGTCTAACAATGAAACGGTCCCACCCACATTACACAGTGTTCAACTTGCAGTGCTATCATAACTCAGACAAATGATTTTATTTTACTTGACGCACATGCATTCATCTCAAAAGGTTTTTTTTTTAATGCAAAGCAGAGCGTGCACACACCCCATCCCATGATGAATGCCGTAATCAGGCTGCGACTACAAAAAAACATTGGGATACTTGGAAATTAGGCCCCTCTTTCCTGTCGCAGGTCAGCCGTGCCTCCCTCCTTCCCTCCCTCAGTGTGTCGTACGTGAAACATCACGCTCCAAACACTGCTCGTTGAAACAGTGCTAATTAAAATCACCTGGGAAGAACTGCGTGGGGCTAACAAAGGGCCGGGCTTCACGTTACAGAGCAAAGTGTGTTCGCGTGTGTGTGAAAATTTTTACTACTGCTATCGCGGCCTCTTTGAAGAGCCACGGCGTTGAGTGATGAAGCAGCATGATGCACACCTGCACTTCACCTGCACAGCTGCCGGAGTGAAACTGAGGTGCTCCTGCAACCAACACCAGGGGAAAAAAAAAAATCTCATAGCTAATCACTGCCATAATGGGAGCTGTAATACTATACACCTTGTATTTAAAGAAAAAAAAAAAAGACAAAGATCACCTACCCTATTGATTTAGTCCCACATCCCTTGAAGCCACTGAAAGTGCACTGGCAGTAGATGTGGCTGAGGCTTAAGAGGAGAGCTGTCCATTAACACTCCAATACATCAGCCTTCCTGTCCTGACACTCACTGCTCCTGCATGCGAGCAGCTCTAAAGCTAGGAAGAATTCACCCCGGATTATGGGAATGGAGCAAGCAACCACGGTAAGATTAATGTTACCCTTGATAATAATAATAATAATAATAATAATAATAATAATAAAAACAATGATAATAAAAATCAGAAATAATATTCATTTATTTATTTATTTATTATATGAATTACTAAATGCAAACATATTTAGGACATATTTATTATTTTTAATATTTATGCATTTTAGAATTTTTATTTCAAATGCGCATATATGTATGTATGTATGTGTATATATATATATATATATATATATATATATATATATATATATATATATATATATATAGTTACAATAGAGATATAGATATATAGACATCATGGTTAAAAATCTAAATTTCTTGCAAAATTAAAAACAGGGCAAATCTAAAATTCCATACATGATAATAAATACCCAAAATTGCATTAAAATAAATAAAACTTTGAAAACGGTCTTGAAATATGAAATCTGTAACTGTACAGAGATGCAAACGCCTTGAAATTTGAGTAATAATACTAATAATGAATCGTGCATATTTACATTTCATGACTCAGGCTAAAATCACTAGTGTTAAAACAGACATTAATTGTGTTATTATTTGCTATTACTACAGTATATAATAACAATAACAAATCGCGTGTTTAAATCACCCCAAATTTACTCAAATAAAACAGCTATGCAAACACAACAAAAGTGAATCCGCATTATTCACTCGCATAAATGAAATCCTCCCAAACTGTCACTTGATGTAAATATTGATTATGAGGATTTATGAGTCCTCGGCAACTCTCAAACAACACACCTCGCTGTCAAAACAACAAATAAAGCACTAAATAAGCCATCTGCAACTTCTAAGTGCACTCAAACTCAGACGCCGAGTGCATAAAAAAGCCATAAACGTGAAAACTCACCAAAAGAAGTCAATGTATCTCCTTCGGGGATGCAAAGTTTTGCGTGTTTACGAGTCGGAGTGTTTTTAAAAAGCGCTGAAAACAAACGCACAACACGCGCTGTTGATATTCCTCCGCTCGGAGTGCAGAGACGCTGCTGTCTTCAGTCAGTGTGTGCTGCTGTTATTACCGATGCAACAGTAAAAAAAAAAAACGCCCGAGTAACACCGACTCCTGTTTGAATGCGCTTGCATGACGCGCAACGCGAAGCGGCGGCTTGTTTTTTTGTATCTTGATTCAATACATCGCAATGTATCGGCCGAGTTTGGTGGTGGTGGGGAGGACTAGCTTATTACAATGCGGGGAGGCACTTACGCGGACGTGCATGTTGTTATTTTTTAGCGTACTGCGACCCCACGTGACGTCGTGTCCACCTGCTGGGTAAACAATGCAGTCATTAAAAGTTAACGGAGTTTGTTTTTGTTTATTGCCATTGCAAAACACACCCAAATCAAGAAAGACAAGCCGGTTTCATTCGCTGGAGAGATGTGTGTACGAGTCTGAAGTCATTTTTATTTTGATTATGACATATTTGTATTGTTATGCTACTGTTATTTATTGATATGGCGAAATCCGAAATTATACTCGTGATTAAATGAATAAAGGGAATAAGTATTGTGTTTGTTTACACGAATAACAAATAAATAACGTTGTACTTTTAAATAGTTTATACAAATCTGAAGACGAGCGAAGTGGAAGGATGTTCAGAATAACAGAGATGGGGTCAAATGTTTGGTGTTGCTTTATTTTATTTTTCCATAATTCGAAATCAACTTAATTCAATGTTTATTTTAACACATTTATTAAATTTTACTTTATATTAAATTAATCAGCATTCTTAAACACCTCACACACTCGCAGTTCACTGAAATGAACCTCGAAATTAAATCATCAGTACTTTTATTATTGATTTTGATGATATATTAGTCATTTTAATGATGATCTGCTACTGTAACAATATTTGCTTGTGTGCGTTTTCCCCATTTATGTTTTAATTGCAAAACAATTGAAGGTTATACTGTATAGTGAGTTATGCATCGTGTGTGTACTGTCTGTGTGTGTGTGTGTGCCACTGCCTTGAAATATTGATATTAATAAAGGAGATTTCAGATCAAAGATTGATATGAAATGTCTTGCTTTTTGTGATTTAATTATCACAGTCTGTGACTGAATTAATAGTCTTTATTTTATTTTCCAAGCAAGCACCGTCTGCTTTAACATAATGATAGTTTTAAAAAAAGATAGGAATATATATTTTACATTAAATCAACACTTATAAAAATGCATATATAAATGAGTCAATATTGAAGATTTTGACATGGTTTTATGTGAACATTTTAACACTTTTCAAATCTGATAACAAATATCCGTCAGATATCCGCAGAGACTTTTTTCATTGATCAGAAAGAACATATTTGATGCGTTTTGATGTTCACCTATGTTTAAAATATATGCTATGTATCTTAAAGCCTGCTATTTAAATAAATATTTTAATCCAGAATTAAAAAATAATAAAATTGTGGTGTTTGTCACGAAGAAATGAATGAGAAACGTGTGCATTTTTTATAGGAAACTAAGAAAAAGAAGATGATTTTGGGAAACGGGTCATGGCATGAAATATAGGGGTTTGCTGCCACCTATTGGGATATGAACAATCTACACTTATTTGTCAATGAGACAGCGAACGTGCATACAATTTTGATGAGACACTGCCATCTTGTGTACAATGAAGATAATGCACTAAAATATAATACTAAAACAATTCTGGACTTCACCAAAAGGTTAAAACACAACAACAACAACAACAACAACAACAACAACAACAATAATAATAATAATAATAATAATAATAATAATAATAATAATAATAATAATGGAAATGTATACATTAGGTAAAAAATGTTTATTTTTAGTTTTGAAGTATATATTGTATTACGTTTATTCATTTATTTTTTGATAATCTTGTCGTGCTGGCACCTGTAGACCTCCATAGTATTTTCCTCTACTATGGATGCCAATGGGTGTCAGCAACCAGCATTCTTTAAAATAACAGCTTTTGTGTACAGAAGAAAAAGAGACTCATAAAGGCTTTAAACCACAAGAAGGGGAATAAACAATTAGGTTATTTTTATTTTTGTGTGAACTATCCCTTAAAGACACCTAATGTTTCTATAATCAGCAACAAAACCTGTGTTGTTATGTGAGAGAACCACCTATATTGCAGTCAATCTCACAAGTATTCATATATCATCATATTCTCAACATTTCTCACAACGTTTCTCCCATTATCAGTTGTTTTACTACAGAGTTATATGCTTGATTCTGTTTGGCTGATGAATAACTAAGGTAGCCTACTGTACGCAGTCATTTTCAGATAAATGCACAGCTAAAGGAGTTCCAGACAGATCTTGACCGCATTACAGTTCCATATCAATACGCCACAAAATATCGGTTATTTTAAAGCCCACAACGGTCAAATATTAAAGCAAAACAAAACAGAACACATTTGTGCACACATCTGAAATATTCCATTCAATTAAAGTTATCAATAGTTATTATTTTACAAAAGGTGCACATTTTTGCATTACAATCAAATTCAGAAAAGTTAAGGTTTTTAGTAACCTTAACTTTATTAGTTACTAATAACTTTAACTAATTAACTAGTAACTAACAGCTTTTAACAGTTGAACTATTATATAAAAATGTAGTTCATCTGCTGTTTAAATAGGTGAAAAGTATGTGTATATGTTAAATGAAGTGTAAGTATAAATATAGGTATTAGAAAATTTAAAAATTAGAAAAGAAATTAAGTTCAGTTCAATTCAATTCATTTTTATTTCCTTAGCGTTTGTACAATGTAGCTTGTGTCAAAGTAAAACTGTGTCTGAAACTGAAAAACTGAAACTGTGTCAGTCCAGTTTTCAGAGTTGAAGTTTAGTTCAGTCTGTGTTAATTTTCACTGCAGAGAGTAAGCAATTCATCAATGCGCAGCTCCACAAGTCCCAAACCATGCAAGCCAGTGTCAACAGCAGCAAGGAACAAACTTCACTAATTGATGAAAGTGAAGAAAAAAAAACCTTTAGAGAAACCAGGCTCAGTTGGGCATGACCATTTCTACTTATCATTTACTAACTAACTAACTAACTAACTAACTAACTAACTAACTAACTAACTAACTAACTAACTAACTAACTAACTAATTAATGAACTAACAAATAATCAACCAACCAACAACAAACGACTAATTAATTTGTTAGTTCATAAATTAGGAAGTTAGTTAGGTAGATGGTTTGTTTGTTGGTTAACTAACTAAACTAACTAACTAACTAACTAACTAACTAACTAACTAACTAACTAACTAACTAACTAACTAACTAACTAACTAACTAACTAACCAACCAACCAACCAACCAACCAACCAACCAACCAACCAACCAGCTAACTAACTAACTAACTAACTAACTAACTAACTAACTAACTAACTAACTAACTAACTAACATCTTATCAAATTTAATAAAACATTTTAAGAATATTTATAACATAATGTGCTCCAAAACAAATTTTAAAAATCATGTTTAACTATATAAACCTGATATAAACATCCAAAGCTTGCAGTTTGTCACTACCACCTAATGAATCACTAATCTTTTTTTTTAAATTTGCCAGAAATCTTGACCAATGAAATGCTCTCTAGTATCTGACATGCCCCGCCCCCTTCAAAACGTTTCTCATTTGCATTTCATTTGATCGCAAACAATTTCACTGGCAGAGCTGTGGTAAAAACGAAATGCTATTGGCTGCTTTTTTTTCAAGGGTAGGAGCTATGTCCCACCCTCTCTTCATGTTTCAGCTGAGATTACGTCAAAGATTAAATAAAAGATGCACATTTCAAATCATCTCAGGGTACCTTTAATTTGAATGGGAAAAATTAATTCTTAAAATCTAAAGTTAGCATTAGCATTAGGTTTGTCCATATTTGACCTAACACTGGGTTATGATTGGGTTACAAGTGCAGTCATTCATTCATTCATTCATTCATTCATTCATTCATTCATTCAATCATTCATTCATTCATTCATTCATTCATTCATTCGTTTTCTTTTTGGCTTAGTTCCTTTATTAATCAGGGGTCACCACAGTGGAATGAACTGCCAACTTATCCAGCATATGTTTTACGCAGCGAATGCCCTTTCAACAGCAACCCATCACCGGGAAACACCCACACGCTCTTGCATTCACACTACAGACAATTTAGCTTACTTTATTCACCTATAGCGCATGTCTTTGGACTGTGAGGGAAACTGGAGCACCAGGAGGAAACCCACACGAACACGGGGAGAACATGCAAACTCCACACAGAAGTGCCAACTGACCCAGCTGAGGCTCAAACCAGCGACCTTCTTGCTGTGAGGCGATCGTGCTGCCCACTGCGCCACCATGAGGCCTACAAGTGTAGTGTTTGCAGTCAAACAGATTCATCAAGCCTGAACTGACTCACAACAGCAGCTTCTTTACTTTATGTTGTGTTTTAATCCACTATAAGAAGAATTTTAGTGATAACATGTCACCGATTTCTTCATTTTGCTATATCACATATATAAATGAACTATAGTCTCCTGACAACACAAGTAAAAATGAACATATGGACTAATAAAGCAAGTTAGGGTAATCAGGCAAGGCATTGAAGAACCAAGTTTTGCTTTGCAGCTTTTTGAAAAAAAGAAAATAGCATAAGATAGGGTAATAACATTGACCTTAAATTCTTTAAAAATGTTTTTATTCTAGCCAAAATAAAACAAAAAGTGCTCAGGGGTAACTTAATTAATGTGTCTGAGTTCTTTGGGTGAGGAATTCGTCAGAATAAACGGCAAAAGTAAGCCCAAGGCACTCTAAAAATGTGGATTTAAATATTCTTTCCACGTTTTTTGAGTGCCTTGGATTTACTTTTGATGTTTAAAACAAGTAAACTTTCTCCAGAAGACAACAAACATTATTGGAAACACTGTGAAAATGTTCTTGTGCCATTAAATATCCCAGTAAATAAATAAATGAGTATTTCACAGGAGGGGGGCTAATATTTTTGCCCACAACTATATATATAAATGCTATCTCCAGGGTCAGAAAAGTTCACCAGACGACATGAACGGATCAAAGCAGCCCACGTCCATCACACACTAGTGACCAGGAAGACAAGCATAGTTCAGTAGCCAGCTATATTTAAGCCTGGCAACCACACAATGTTCAGCCGTAACCCGATGCTCCCTGCCGAGTCACGTTGCGAGTGAATTGGCTACTAATGTTCAGCCTAAACCAGCAGCATGTCTGTGGAAGAGACAACCTGCAACCTGGAGCCTCCAAACTGCAAGGACTGGATCATGAAAAACCAGGAGGACAAGATGGAGCAGGTTGCAGAGGATGAATCTGAAGAGGAGGAACCGGAGCCTCCATTGATAGCCCTACGAAGGAAGGTTTCATTTGCGGATGCATTTGGTTTGGACTTGGTTTCAGTGAAGGAATATGACAACCGGGACTCGTCGGAGGGTGGGGAATACTACATCTCATGTTTGTTCACCATTGCAGATTTGATCCTGGATATGGAGGCGAAACTTCAGCAGCAGAAGTTGGAGTTGGAGCGGTTTGAGCTGCTCCCTGGATCCACTACAATCCGAGGAATCGTCCGAGTGCTTAACTTATGCTTCCACAAATCAGTTTATGTCCGTGTTACACTGGACGGCTGGCAGAGTCACTTTGAGCTGATGGCGGAGTATGTGCCCGGGTCCAGTGATGGCCAAACCGACTGCTTTTGTTTTCACCTCAATTTGATGCCTCCATTCCCGGTCGAAGGGCTGCGTGTTGAGTTCTGTCTGCGGTACGAGAGCGCTGTTGGGACCTTCTGGGCCAGCAATGGAGGGACAAACTACATCATGTTCTGCTATCAAAGACGAAGGAGCAATTTTAAAGAGCACCCAAGGGAAAATGAGAAGGAGATTGAAAAGGAGAAGGTAGAGGAGGGTCTGCATAAAGGTATCAGGAGCTGCCTTAAAGCAAACAGGTGGGAAACCCTGCAAAAGCAAACCCATGCTTGGAATTATCTTGTTTATTTGCACTTACTGAAGGGTTAGGGATTTAGGTTCGGTTGGAGATTAGGTACACAGCCCTTTTAAAAACATATATTAAGTGACACTTAGAAGGGGGTGTAATCATGACCAGGGCCAGACAGTTTTTTTTTTTTTTTGCTATTTCTGCACAGAATAAATAAACAAATAAATAAATAAATAAATAAATAAATAAATAAATAAATAAATAAATAAATAAATAAATATTATTGAATAATTTTTATAATTTTATGTTTGATAATCTGTGGAATTATGAGGAAGGATTTTAAGAGAATACCCTGTAAAATGCTTTGGGACATCAAGAATGAATTAATTGAACTTATTAGATTTTAGAGATTTAAGTAGAGTGAACAAAAACAATGGAGCTGTCACAAAACAAAAAGGAGAATTGTGTTATTTCAGCTCATTTTAAATAAGTAGTTTGAACAAACAGCATTAAAATTAGGCTGTCATGGCATTTAATAATCATGAGCAGGGCCGGACAGATTTTTCTTAGCTCTTTCTGTGTAGACAGACAGATGAATAAATAAATAAAAAAAAAATAAATAAATAAATAAATAAATAAATCTGTGGAATTTCGAGGACTGATTTTGAGAGGATACCCTGTAAAAATGCTTTGGGACAACATTAAGGAATTAATTGAATGCATTATTTTGAAAGATTTAAGTGAATTGAACATAAAACAATAGAGTTGTCACAAAAAATCAGTAATTGTGTTGGTTTAGCTCATTTTAAATTAAATTCAAGTAGTTTGAACAAACAGCAAATGTCTTTTTTTGAGTGTAGTTATTAAAAACTTAGCATTGAAGTTAGACCATCATGGCACTCAATCATTATGACCAAAGTCAGACAGATATTTTTTTGCTAGATCCACACAGAACTTTGTAAAGAAAAAAAATAAATAAATAATAACACTAATAATAAGAAGAATAATCTGTGGAATACCTTGTAAAATAAATAAAAAAAATAAAAAAATATGAATAAATCTGTAAAATACCCAGTAAAATAAATAAATAAATTCATTATTAAATAAATAAATAAATAAATAATAATAATAATAATAATAAAAATCTGTGGAATACCCAGTAAAATAAATAAATAAATGCATTAATAAATAATAATAATAATAATAATAATAATAATAATAATAATAATAATAATAATAATAATATAAATTATTATTATTATTATTATTATTATTATTATTATTATAAATCTGTGTAATTATGAGGAATGATTTTGAGAGAATGTTCTGTAAAAATGCTTTGGGATAACATGAGGGAACTAATTGAACTAATTGAGTGGATGGAACATAAAACAATTGAATTGTCGCAAAACAAAAGTCAATAATTGTGTTGTTTCAGCTCATAATCAGTAGTTGAACAAACAGCAAACGTCTTTTTTGAGAGTAGTAATTAAATATTAGCATTAAAATGAAATTTTGTTAAATGTAAGGTTTACAATGCAAATCCAATTAGTACCATTTGTTTGGTCAACAATCTAAGTCTTTCATATGCTGTATTATATCTATTGAAAGACAGAAAATTTTACTGTACAAACATTGAACATAAACCATAAAATATTTGCACTTTATTCAATGATATTCCTTACATTTTTACACAAACTGAGTACTTAATAATGGGCTAAAAACAATCATGAGATGACACTTATCATAAATATGAAGGACATTTTATGGATGCCTTTGACAACTGTCATCAAGTGTTAAAGTGTGAAACTCGGGCAACACAGCCTTGGACACGATATAAGCACACCAAGGTTAAACATTTAACATTTGTTTATGTGTAGACCAGTAGCATATTTCTGTGATCATCAAATGAAGACTTCTGACAGGAGACTGTATGCTTGAACATGGCTGGTGTGTATGACTGAAACCCTGCTGTATATTTACAGTAAAAACTACACAGAAGCGACAGCTGCAGAGGCGAGTGGAGGAATCCCAGGCGAGTTTCTTATGTGGAGATCTGGATGTAAGGAGTCTGATGACAAGATACTGAGTTTGATTGTGTATTTCACAGAGCAAGCCACAGCCAAGGTTGGGCGCAATAGGAACAAAACAGAAGAAGAAGCAGGGATCACTTCCTGCAAATCCCTTAAGGACTGCTGCAAAACCCTGGTAGGGTCAATGGACAAAAGGAGGATATTTAGGAGAAATCTTTAGAGCATGATTGAATAATTTACATAGCACTCTTTATATGTGTACACACAAGATATGGGATAGTCACAGTGCAACCACACACCAGCAGGTTGTACTGGCAGTTCAATATGTACGGGCGTTATTAGAAGAAGGCTACATGTTTGGTAAAATAAAAGTTGACAATAAACAATGTAATGTGCTGTGCAACTATTAATCTGCAGCTCTCATTTGGTTGAAGCTAAGCAGGGTTGGGGATAGTTAGTATGGGCGCCCTCCTGGGAAAACTAGAACTGCTATTCCACCAGTGTGCCAAACTCTTCAGTTCCAGTTATATTTCTACATGAGCCTGGGATGGTTTGGCACAATTACAAACCATTCGTGACATGGAATTCTAGGCAGTGTTAGACAATCGTGTTGAACTCTGCTGGACTGGTGTGCCACTCTGTTGTCAGGCTGCAAGTTTATCCATGGCTGACTTGGCAGAATTGCGCTATTTAATTAGTATTATTATTATTTTCTTGTTTAGTGAAGTAAATGTCAGAATTAAAGAGGAATCCCAAAAACAACATTGACTTGACGCATTTGTATTGCACTCCAAAAAGTTTCATTATCAGCACCACTGTAGAAAACAAAATCATTTTGTACTAACTGGAGTGAACTGGTATGAAATGCAAAAGTCAAGTAAACAGAACCCTTAGGCCAGGAAAAGCGGATAAATGTGCCGCAGAAAAAGGTGCTAGTGTGGGTCCTAGTGCCCAAGTATAGTGATCCGGACACTATCCTGTCAGAAAAAAAACCTACCTGTTGATTAGACATTTAACCGAGGCCTTGACTCTCTGTGATCAATAAACAATTCCAGGATGTTGCTTAAATAGTGTAGGGGTGTGACCCTGGCCAAGTTTGCCTTCTGGGCTCTGTCCATCATATGCTCCAAATCATCCCCATATAAACTAATTTGCTTTATTACTCTCCTTCCCTTTCAATAAGCCGGTGTCTGGTGTGTGTTCTGGTGCACTATGGCTGCCATTGCATCATCTAGGAAGATGCTTCACAATGGTGAAGTAATTATAAGAAGTAGTTAGTTAAGATACACTTTAAAAATGCTTGGTTGTCGTAACCCAAAGGTGGGTCAAAAATGGACAAACTCAATGCTGGGGTAATTTTTTTAATTAAATTTCAATTACACTTGGGTTTCAACAACCCAGCATTTTTAGAGTGTAAATTGAAAGGTATGCGTTTTATTTCAGAACAAAACATGATCAATTTCTTTTAAAAACATATTTATTCAGCATATTGTCGCATTTCTGACAGGTGGACCGTCGTAGGAAGCGTCAAGCTGCTCGTCTGGCACATGTTCAAAGCTACTTTGCTCAGAAAGCAACAGAAACCCAGATGGGATGTAATTCCATCACAGATGAAAGTTCAACCTCCATCCCAAGGCTGAGTATACAAAGCAGAACCGACAACCAACAGGGATTCGGCATGGACACACCACCAATACTAATGTACCACCAGATTCCTTTGCTTTCTCTAGACTGGGGGAGTACCTCAACAACACCTCCCCAAGTGAACCCCCCAAACACAGAGAGCCAGCAAGTTGAAGATCACCAAGCTGAGTTGAGTTTTGATGCCTTTCTGAAGGGCTCTGATACGGCAATCCCTCACAGTGATATGCAGGATCAGGCATGTGCTTCTCCAGAGTCACTTGACCATTCTGAAGTTTCAGCTTCAAGGGACAGAGTCGGAGGATTGGAGGACAGAGAAGCTTGGAAAAATTACAGTCAAGAGTCTGCTAAGAGGAGAACAACAAATATCATCCAATCTGATGCCACACAACAAGGAAAGGATCCGATCACAAGTCTTTCTAGTGATCAAGTTGTGAATTACCAGTTAGTAAAAGAACCAATGGTCACTACTCTACCATGGTCTGTTTTAGATTCAAGGGACCAAATTGTAGTCCCAATGGAAGATAGAGGAGCGGAGAAAGATTATAGTCAAGGGACTGATGACAGAGGAGCAATAGAAACCATAAAATCTGACCCCACAGTGCAAGTAAAAGATCTGAGTACGAGTCTCTCTAGTGATCAAGTTGTGGATTATCAGTTAGCAAAAGAACCAAGCATCACTACCGTACCCTGCTCTGTTTTACCTTCAAGGGACCAAATTGTAGTCCCGATGGAGGATAGAGAAGCTGAAAAAGGCTACATTCAAGGGTCTGCTGACAGGAGAGCAATAGAAACCATAAAATCTGATCCCACGGAGCAAGGAAAGAATCTGAGCACAGGTCTTTCGAGTGATCAAGTTGTTGAGGATTACCAGTTAGCGAAAGAACCAAGTGTCACTGCCATACCCTGCTCTGTTTTAGCTTCAAGGGACAAAAATATGATCCCAATAGAGGATAGAGGAGCTAAGAAAGATAATAGTCAATGGTCTGATGACAAGAGAGCAATAGAAAGTATAAAATCTGATCCCACAGACCAAAGAAAGGATCTGAGCTTGAGTCTTTCGAGTTATGAAGTTGTGGATCATCAGTTAGTAAAAGAACCAAGCGTCACTATCGTACCATGCTCAGTTTTAGCTTCAAGGGAACAAATTGAAGTCCCAATGGAGGATAGAGAAGCTGAGAAAAAATGTAGTCAATGGTCTGCTGACAGGGGAGCAATAGAAATCATAACATCTGATCCTACAGAGCAAGGGAAGCAACCGAGCACAAGTCTTTCAAGTGATCAAGTTGTCGAGGATTACCAGTTAGTAAAAGAACCAAGCGTCACTGCCATACCCTGCTCTTTTTTAGCTTCAAGGGACAAAAATGTTGTCCCAATAGAGGATGGAGGAGCTGAAAAAGGCTACATTCTAGGGTCTGGTGACAGGAGAGCAATAGAAATCATAAAATCTGATCCCACAGAGCAAGGAAAGGATTTGATCACACGTCTTTCTAATGATCAGATTATGAATTACCACTTAGGTGAAGAACCAAGCGCCACTACCGTACCATGCTCGGTTTTAGCTTCAGGGGACCAAATTGAAGTCCCAATGGTGAATAAAGGAGATGAGAAAAAATATAGTCAATGGTCTGCTGACAGAAGAGCAATAGAAACCATAAAATCTGATCCTACAGAGCAAGGAAAGGATCGTAGCACAATTCTTTCGAGTGATCAAGTTGTTGTGGATTGCCAGTTAGTAAAAGAACCAAGTGTCACTGCCATACCCTGCTCTTTTTTAGCTTTAAGAAACAAAAATGTCCCAATAGAGGATAGTGGAGCTGAAAATGGCTACATTCAAGGGTCTGGTGACAGGAGAGCAATTGAAATCATAAAATCTGATCCCACAGAGAAAGGAAAGAATCTGAGCACAAGTCTTACTAGAGATCAAGATGTGGATTACCGGTTAGTAAAAGAATCAAAAGCCACTACCGTACCGTGCTTTGCTTTAGCTTCAAGGGACCAAATCGAAGTCCCAGTGGAGGAACTAGAAGCTGTGAAAAATGATAGTCAATGGTCTGCTGACAGGATGGCAATAGAAGTCATAAAATCTGAACCCACAGAGCAAGGAAAGGATCTGAGCACAGGTCTTTCTAGTGATCGAGTTGTAGATTACCAGTTAGTTAAAGAACCAAGGGTCACTACAGTACCATGCTCTGTTCTGGGATCAGAGCCAGACAGGCTGGAAAGAGAGTTAGAGGCATCTCGTGACTGCCAAACGCCACATCATGAGCTCACAAGTGGATTTTTGAGTCAAGACACGACCAAGGCGAGCCCAGGGGATGAAACTGGAATCGCGCATGACACAGAGACTCAGAATTCAGAAGCAGGAGATGGAATCTCACCTGAAGAATGCACGGGCAGCTCCGACACCTCAAAGGTTAAAGAAAACACACACAGGGCGGTCAAAGACATCCTGACATTTACGGGGATCAGAGACGTGCCACTCACAAATAGACAGGCCGAGGGATCTTCTCCAAAGAGGAAGGTTATAAATATAGACGATAGCGAGGAGCAGGTGGAAATGAGGTGGTTTTATACAGAACTACATGAAGAGGACGCGGAAAGCAGTAGAAAAGGACAAGATGAAACAACTATGGATCACAGTGCAGAAATACAGAGTGTTTCATCGTGCGCGAGCGAGGCGTTTAATGAGAACGAATTATGCACGATGAACAAGAATCTTCACAAAGACAATTCAGAGCTACAGAAAAGCGAAGAGAGGCGGTTTGAGGCAAATGAAGGACTTAAAATAAAGGAGCAACTCAACGAGACGACTATTGAAGCAGCTAAAGGAGGTGAAGAGGATGAAATGTGTTCAGAAAGCAAACGAGAGCTCATTGAGGACTCCCGAGCCATCGGTGATAATTGCACAGATGAAGACCTTACCAGCAAAGTTACATATCTGACAGATAGCACTGACCTTCCCAAACACATCCCTCAGACAACATCTATAAAGGACAGAGAGGTCAATTCTCAAGATGAAGAGTTTGAGCTTGGGAAAAGCCTCAATGGTAGTAGCAACAGGCTGTTTTCATGGTGGCAGGAGTTCAACTCACTGGGTCACATGGCCAAGGCTTTACTGTATGCTATTCTGTTTGTGATCTTCATAACAACATATCTTTGTGACATGCCAACCTGCTTGGCTCTCTATTTGTTTTCTCTGTGCTGGTGGTGCAGCCAGGGCATGAAACAGCGTCTGGATGGGGCGTCTGTTGATGTGGACTGAGACAATATACTGTAGGATGTTTTTAAAAAAAAAACTTTTTTCACAAATATGATGTATGGTTTTAAAATGTAAAGTGGCATGACGTGATTCTATGGGCCCAAAATAACTTGGAAAATAGATTTAAGAGGCATTTCTGTTTTTGTTGCTTTCACTTGTATTCTCATTAAAAGTCCTATTTGATCCCAAGCAATCAGTCTTTCAATGCAATGCTAAACTAACTCTGGTATTATTATACCAAATGTTAATCCCATTTTGTGATATAATAAAATGATAGAACAACAGAAACCCTTATGGTGTCAAAGACAACACATCTATCTCAGTGATATACAATACAGTGCTATTTTCTGAATAATTGAGTTTTTCACAGTGATTACTTTGAACCTACAACAACCTTCTAGTAAACAGTTCTTAAAAGAACCATATGTGTACATCTTATGCTGAGTTCAGATTGCATGGTTTTAGCCTTGATTTTGACTCGCCGACAGGTTTTGAGAAATCGCAGACATATGCCTGAAATCACAGGCAAATCAGTGCTCGTTCATGTGAGTAACAATCACACAGTATGGACTAATCAAAGACGCAAGCTGAGAGAATCGCCAATGAGTCGCCGACACCCATGGGATATTTGGCATGCTAAAAATCTGGACCTAACTGCGATTCAATTCATGCCGTGTGAAATGTGTCCTGATTGAAAATAGCACTGATGATTACTTACAGCCAATGAGAGAGCAGCATTCACTAGTTTGGGTATCTGCAGGCCAGTGGGAGGTTGGGGAGAGTTTAACAGTGCTTTTTATCAGTCTATTTGGACCCAAGAAGTGAAGGAAAATTTGTATCAATTTGGTGGGAGCACCGGTGTCTGTTTGACGTGTCATCTGAGCAATAGCACAACTTAGACAAAAAATTAAAAAAGGTTTAAGAGAAATTGCCATTTTTTTTTATTCCACTAAAGGCTACTTTCTCTCTAAGTAGTACAATATATTCTATGTGACCTCCCAATCTTCTCGCGTGTGTTTGGTTGTGAGACGTAGGTTATAAACCGAGACAAAGCTGTCCGTAATTAATAATCTCAACATGTATCATAACTACCTGGTTGACCTTTTATGCATAGGTTATCATTATCATTTTAATTGCTTATTATTATTATTTATTAGAGTTGTGCCAGCATGTTATTCAATACAAGATGTGGGCCCAAAAAATAATTTTCAAGGAGTACACCTAAGTGTTAACCCCACTGTTGCCAATCCATCTTGCATGCTCGCATTAGTTTCTCCCGGGTTCTCCGCATTCCTTCCACCGTCCAAAAACTTGCGACATTGGTGAATTGGCCTGTCAGAGACTTGGACCAGTGACGTACTGGCAGTGAGGTAACAGTGCTAACCACAATAAAAAGAAAGGAGAACTAGGGGTGGAAGGGGGAATTCATCAAGCCAAAGATGAAATCTGGTTATTTATAATGAGTTAGGAATCATCCGATTGGTGAATCATCCATTAGCTAATGCAGGACCAGCTGCGGTCAATCATAAGCACGTGATCCTCTTGAAGTTAGTTTATAAATAAACTTCACTTATGATTTTATTAAAAAACTTCAATATATATTTGCTTCAAAATGAGTTATTTTCATGGCATATTTTCAGCTTAGTGTCCCCAAACTTCAGATCTGTACTTTCTAAAACATTTCACTGGGTTCATACAAAGACATATCAAATGCACTATATGACAGCGTAAGGACAATGTCTCTTTGGGGATGAGTGTGATGGACGTGACATTTTCTGCAAATCCCACCATGTCTATGTTCCCAAAAGACCACAGACCGAGAGAGAGAGAGGCTGGGAAAAGGACAAGGCTTCTAGACCTTCTGTGCTCTGAACATATGTAATTCATACCTGATAGCCTTAAAGAACTCTCCTCATACTGTATGCCCTTCTTCATGCATTACCAATACAGTAAATTGATCTCAAGTTAAAGTTATAACACCATTAAAACGTCATAAAGGTGCTTGCTAAAATGCAATTAATTTACATGAAATCAGGCTGTGTGTTGTGGCTCAAAAGAATGACAGGCATTTACACCTCATTGAACCGGATTAGCGTTTAGCCAATATAATGCATGATTTTAAGCTGAAATGTGACGTGCAAAAGTAGTGCAGCCATGTGGTGGGTTTTTGTACATGCTTATTTTAGTTTTGGACTAATGCATGACCTCTGTTTATAAGTGAGTGTGTAATAGAGATGTAGTGTGTGTGTGTGTGTGTGTGTGTCGATGTAGTCATATGATCCAGTCTACTGTGACTCTGACCTTTCAGTGTCTGGCTGCTCACCTCACATTCATCTAGAGCCATTCATCTGTACAGACTTTACTGTTCTTAATGTTAGTATTCACAGCCATGTTTACTCTGTTACCATTGTTAGGGGTGTTAAAATTCCTTAAAGCAGGCAGATTCATTATATCACATTAGTTATTTAAACATCACACAGAACATATAAGAGCAAGCTGATTTTCAGAGCTGATCAGATGACTATAAATTGTTACCATAATCATAACCTCTTACACACTTGTCTGCATTATATCATAAAAAGGCACCATTAGATGCTATTATTAAGTAATATGAAACAAATTAAATTTAAAAAGTGTTTAAAATGCACTCTAAAAAATATTGTTTAGATTAAACAAAAAATTTAACGCAACAGTTTGCATTAATATACTGAAGTTATGACAACATCTAACAAAATGTTCAGACGTCATACTTTTTTATGTTAGCCAAATGTTTTCCTCTTCAATCAGAGGCATTTTTACATAGCAACAACCTCAAATTTTTAAGTTGATTACTCAAAAAAATAAGTTGTTTAAATGTTTTTTTTATTAAAATTGAAAACAAACCCAGTTGTTTTCAAATTTACTGTCCATGCTTGTAAGGAATACATTTAACAACAACATTTTTGTTTTTCGTTATTTTTTATTTGTATTAAACCACAGGTTTTCATTGTTTTACAAAACAAAATCATGTACTGTCCCATATTTTCAGTATAAAAAAAAATAACAACAAAATTCATTAGTGTGTGGACTTAAAAATACAAAACAACTCCATTAGTGCAAGTTATCAACCCAATTTCTTTGGGTTGCTAAAAGTTAAATATTGTTTTACAGAACTCACAGATATATTTACTTTTAAATTAGCTGCATTTTTAAATTGATGTAATTATCAATATTTTCCTGTTTTGAAAACTTAATAAAATGATTCTGGTAAATTAAAAGTTTTAATCTTATCAGCATTTTAGAATTTTTAAGTTAAAATAATGTTTTAAACTATGTAGTGTTAACAGATCTTGTGAGTTACTTTTTAGACTAAATTACTGGCATAAATAACATATATAATCACTTAAAGCAAATATCCCAGACCTTTAAATGTAGTTCAATGTATATATGTGTATACGTGTGCCCCCACCAGTGCCAATATACAACCATATCGCACTGCTACAAGTGTGATATTGCGTTTATACAACAGTTTGATGGCATAATTGTGAATATAAAAACAAAATCAAATATGGAGAGTCTTAAAAACCCTATATATTTATATATATATATATATATATATATATATATATATATATATATATATATATATATATATATATATATAATTATTATTATTATTATTTTTAAAGTTACTTAACAAAAGTTTTCCCTGCTAAAAAGTGAGGGGTTTTGGCCATTTCCAGGCTGCTTTTAAGACATTTCCAGCCTTAGCTAGTCAGGCTGGGAAATAGCCAGCTAAATCCAGTTTGACCAATCCTGGTTGTCGTAAGTTTCTAAGCTGAATCAAATTAACCCTATGAGTCCATTGAACTTATAATATGTTCGATGGTATGTATATTTTTCAAAAGTTACCTTGACTTAACAATAGCTATCCCTGTTAAAAGAAAAACAGCCATAACCAGTATAATCTTGACCAGTCTGGTTTTTAGAGGGGTTTTGGTCGTTCACAGGCAGGTTGTAAGACATTTTCAGGCTGGTCTTAGCTGGTGAGGCTGGGAAATGGCCAGCTAAAACCAGCTTGACCAATCCTGCATGGTTGCTCTAAATTTCTAAGCTGAATCAAATTAACCTTATGAGTCAATTGAACATACTCGTATTATGTTAAATTGACTTATACCAGCTTGCATAACTTATAAAATTAAGCTACAACATGATTAACTTAGCTGATTAAGTTACAATGACCTATAAACATATGCTAGGACTAACTGATAATATAATGTTTTACAGGGTGGTGTCTGATGTCTGAAACCAGCTTGGAAATGGTCAAACCCCCTATAAAACCTGGCTGGTCAACCAGCTAAAACCAGCCAACCAGTTCAGGCTGGTTTAATCTGTTTCTTTAGCATGATGGTAACTAATAATCTAATAATTTCAAGCAGAAATCAAACCGAATGAGTAATGAATGAATTAATTCTATTTATGTGTAAACTCTAATGCTAGAAGCAACATCATCTGAGTAACTATATACAGAAGTTGTTTGGACCTAATTCATTTCATTAACTGAAGTAATACCGATTTAATAACTGAACTTAAAATGTTACTAATACACTAAAAGTTAGATATAAACACAAATCATATATGTTTATATGACTAAATATATAGACCTATGTATGTTTACTGTACTCAGACTATTTGATTTCAGAACTTTAATGATTTGCCGCAATCGTTTTTCCTCAAACAGTTTGAGTTAACTTAACTTATAGGGTTTTACCAACGACTATAGAATAAACCTTATATATGCCTTAAAGAGACTTTACAGTGTAGATATTTTAAAGCACATAGGTTAACTGAGTACATTACAGGAGGTCTTCTCTGTCCCTTTCCATTGAGCTCAGCATGGGTTGTTATTAAAGTGACTCAGGAGGAACACGATATACCCAAACGTTGCTCACGGTGAAAGACACATGGGCCTTGTGATAAAATGTCACAACGGTCACGAGGGATGCTTTCTGAGGCGTCAATACCTTAGATGCTTCATGCATGCTTGCTTTGTATTTAATTACGTGTTGCATGTTGGCACCCTTTCAGTTTTCTTTATGTACTGTATATATATATATATTTCTGAAATATACAGGCTTATTAAAGTTAATCCATAAAAAAGTTACAGGGCTTCAGCATTTTAAATTTTTCATTTGTTTATGCAATTCT